GGGCACAAGGAAGACGGAAGACAGGGGAGTCAAGTCAATTGGGTACAAGTCTCCCTGTTCTTGGTCTCAGCAGAAGTTTATTTTATACATTACAACCAAGCAGTGTGAAAACATCACCACATGAACTGGGCTGAGAGATCATAATCATCTTTTTTTCCCTAAGAACAGTTTGGTGTTGCATTGACCTTCAACTGAGATAACACTTACCAATCTATTAAAGTTAAAACAGGTACATAAATTCATAAAATTTAAGACTAACATTGCTATACTTACCACAGTGATGATTAGCTAAAATAAAGTCCCTTAAGCCCTAATTACTACTTAATGACCTTCGTTCTCAGTGAGACATCTTAGAGGGTAAGGTCAAGTCGAGGGCTAGGGTGGAGGCTAGAGCAGAGATGTGAAAGAGCATAAAGTAAATTTGAGGGTTAGGGTGGAGAAGTTTTGTTGGAGATAAATCTAAGGGAGGTAGTAAGATTCCTCATTTAAAGACTAAGCAATAGAAAGCTTAAGTAAGAGTAGAGTGATAAGATTTGGATTCTCTTCTGGGCAGTAAAAGAACTGATTATTTAACATGTTCTAGTACTGCCTTGTATTTAACATGTTCTAGTACTGCCTTGTTTTACAACATTGCTTTTATGAATCAGCCAATTGTAATATTTGACTTCAAGGGTAATTTCCCATCTTGGGGCAGTGCTTGCTTGCCTGGGCCAGGCAGCGCCAGATGAGGCTAAGGCAATCCAACTGTAATCTGATGGTTGCTCATTTTGATTATACAAAAAAGGGAGGTCATAACAGAAGTTAGCATGGAAATTCTGATTTTTCAGGGCATTTCCCTTCTATCTGGCATTTGTCGGATTTGTTGCACAGCTGTGTCATCAACGTCATGGATTTCTGCTCTTTGTCCACGTGTTAAGAGTTCAAAGTCCCTTCTCCTGTGAACCCCATCCTGTCCCTTAAGAGCTTAGCTGGAAATCCAGAGTAGTGTACCACCATCCGCATAGGCAGAACTGTAATATATCATGGTGCTTATCGCAAATTCAGTATCACCTACTTACTATATTCCATCTACACTGGTATTATATAATGTAATGAGACAATATCAAGAGCACACTGGAAGGACAACACATTAACATACTGTAAAAAGTGGTTTGAAAAGATGCCTCATTTCTGCATTGTTATTAGCTATTAGCATATGTTTCAGTTATCCTTAAAGAAAGTATATAAATAGAAAATTTCTTGGCATAATCTTTGGTTGGTCTTGGAGACCTTTGAGTTTCCTTACTACATGCCCATTATCTCTTCCAAGAGAAAAGCATGCCTGGAGGGACTTGAGCCAAGTATAACCCCTTGCAGAATTTCTGAGCATGCAGACAGGGTTGTCTTCTACTGGGTCTCTGCACTAAAAAGCCTGTTCTTGCATTGCAGGTGGGTAAGGCTGGAACCCAGTTATAAGGGTCCTATCAGAATCTGAAGTCTGAGATTGTGGGCTTGCCTCCACAGGCCCCTGGGGCATGTGGACACTCCAACAAGAGTTGTCTAGAGCCAGCTCATGGGCCACTTTAGGGTCCACAGCTCAGACTGGCCTGAGGTCTGTAAGTCTACTACCTACTACAAGGGTATGTGAGACTCTTCTGCAGTTCATTTGCATATAGTGCTGGTGACTGACCCAACGCTATAGCCAAGTCCTTGTG